GAAATAATCAAATAAAAATGGAAGCTGTTACTTGGTTTTATGGCTAGCTAAACCTCCTAGTTATATGACAGTTGTATATAGTTCCATTATGATGACACAATTGGGTAATCAATCCAAACAGACAATATAATAGTATCGTATGTATCTGTGTATAGAGCTTTCACGGTTGACAAAATTCCCGTATTTTCCTATTAGAATCGAAATATTTCATGGCAGCCATAGATTATTTCTTAATCTTTGGTAGTCTCTTTTTAGTAAATTTTTGTTTTCAAATTTTTCTTTTGTCTTATGTTGGCCTCTACATGTTTTGGGGGCTAGGAGGGGCGTCGTTGCTGTAGTTGTGACGTATAAACTCTCTTTCATTTTCCATCTGAATATTCATGAAATATTTCCTACTTGGTGTTAATAGATACAACAATCAACCAAAGGCATATTTAACACGTTTATATCAAAATGATAACAATGGAATTATTATTTATAATTATAGGTTTTGACATACGATAAACATCGTCCTGCATGTGCATTTAATTTGCCGCTGGACGTTAAACAGCCATATACATGATATACATAATCAGACATAAAACAAAGTTTATGAATTAAAAACAAAATGAAACTACAAACTATGATGATATTAGAATGCAAAGTTTTACGATAAAGAATTGTTTGGTGTACTGAAGAAATGAAAACTGGCGAACGTTTAACTGATACACAGATTGATTATCATTTACATCTCAACTAATTGATAATCATATCTGTTGTGTTTGCTTATTTGTAGATCTTATTTAGTTAAAAAAAACTTGAATTTTTCTCTAAAACTATTTTTATATAGTTTCCACGAAAATATCCCAAGATGATGAGGAAAAATTGAATTTTTCTCTATAACTATTATTATATAGTTTCCACGAAAATATCCCAAGATGATGAGGAAACATTTTTAAGATAAAACCTCCTACAAGGAATGAATTAATGATTTTCGTAATGTTGATTTATTAATAGTTCTTATCTTTCCTATCATTTTTGCCTTTAGTTTCTCTCTGTGTATTACAGTTTTTAATATAACGACCAAACATCCCAAACTTTGGTAAAAATCGTTATTTCAGGGCAATTTCTCCTATAATGAGTCGATTGACGATTTCCTCTATTTGATTTATTTGTAGCTCCTATATTCCTGAATATTTTTGTCGATTGCAGTTGCATTCGCTGTACTACAATTTGGGGCATAATAGTCTAATATGGGTTAACAATCATAACTTAATAGCTATTACTTCCATAATGAATCAATTTAAATGTTTGTGTTGTTGACTGCAGGATATTGGATTTTACATCTTATTGATATATTTTGCTGTTTTGTTTCCCTAATCTATAATAGATTTTACGAAAAGAGCCCAAAACGTAAAATATTGGCAAATCTTGTAATTCAAGAGCTATTCAGTGGTTTTTTGTTTTACAATTTCTATACGTTATGGTTTTAGCTCATTGCTGAAGTCGGCGCAGAGACCTGTATTTGTTATATACATTGCCCTTTCATCTTTGGTGTATAGATATCTCCTTGATGTACCTACTACACACTCTTGTCTTCATATTAATTACAAAATACGCAAGAGGTTCCGCATAAAATTTCGGAAAACAATAGATGAATTTTGATATTACTCTCCGGTTAAGGAAAATTCAGTATGTCTTACTTTCGCTTACATAAGACCTAAATACGTGTAGCTGACTATGTACAAATTTAAGAAATTTCAATATAAATCTGTATCTATTTTTTTAAGCTGATCTTGTATTTAAAATAAATATATATCTGACCAATGAACTGTAAACAAACAAAATTGCCATCGTTTCAAAATAATCTTATTCATAAATAAATATGATATGTCAAATATATAGCCTCGTAACTCTAGAGCATAACTGTCATTTGTGATGACTCATTCGCGTTTTTAACATACAATAATTGATATATGAGAGAAATCTGATCAAATATATAGGGGATTGATTAATTGAATATCAACAACAGGCTTATTAAAAAGATATTTTGACGTACATGTGGGGGAAACCATGATACTTTATGTATAAGATGATATGACAGGTGATACATGCATTGCATGATACGCTTACCCTGTCGACCCATCCGGTCTCCCTCCTTAATGATTTCATGTGATTCATTCAGTGTTTGTTTGCTACCTTGATATGTCTTCTAAGTCGACTTATGGGATTGGAACATCGGTAAAATACTTCTGTAACGTTAATTTCATTGCCTGAATAGGTTGATATCGGTAAATGAAAACTGTTTGTCACAGCAAGTATTAGATAAATACAACTTCTAGACGGGTTTATGTCATTCATTTTATAAATTCTTGAATGATAAATTATAAGATTTGTACACAAGAATTTAGATATTTGTTTTCTTTTACATCTGTTTGGGTATAAAACCGTCTATCGTGTCAATACGATCCTCGAATTCTTTTAGATTACGTGCAAATTAGTTGAGTTAATCTTTAGATTTAAGAAGATGTGGCATGAGTGCCAATGAGACAACTCTCCATCCAAGTCAAAATTTATAAAAGTAAACCATTATAGGTCACAGTACGGTCTTCAACACGGAGCCTTGGCTCACACCGAACAGTAAGCTATAAAGGGCCCCAAAAAATTACTAGTGTAAAACCATTCAAACGGGAAAACCAACGGTCTAATCTATATAAAAAACGAGAAACGAGAAACACTTATGAACCACATCAACAAACGACAACTACTGAACATCAGATTCCTGACTTAGGACAGGTGCAAACAAATGCAGCGGGTTTAAACGTTTTAATGTTTGTTATATATCCTAGTTTTCCAATCTGATTAAAATTCTGATCCATATTAACTCGCGTGCTCGTATATATATAGGCTCATATGAGTATAACGAAATCATAGAACTATATGTTAATTAGATTGCCTAATTTTCTAAACATTTTTATTTGACCGTTTCTGGTGAAGATAAATAACGCAGGATGTATAATATTCTTAATTTGACCTCGACATTGCTGATATTGTTGTATACATGATCTCTCCTTGCATCATTTTGGAGGGTAAATACCAATCCGGGCACAACATCGCTAGGAATGGACGCTTAGAATCTTAAATGTTCCTTTTTTTCTGATATTCACGAGGACTGAAATGGAATGTCTGAACTGGTTTAGTCCGATCCATTTGGTTTTGATGGTATCGTCTTCAATGTATGTAAAGTACATGGTTTGGCTTTTGTGACATGATATTTGTTATCTGAAGTTTATATGTTTTTCTTTTAAAATGTGTTGTTTCGAGTGGTAATTAGAGTTTGCTTTTTAATATCATTCGGGTCTAAAAACACTATTCTCCCTGAGGGAGTTCAATTTCTAAATTTATTATCGGACAATTTTAGAAAGGTTTTTCATAAATCATGTCAGTACCGAAGTATAAAGGTTAATGAGACAATTAGTTGAAGAACACTGTGACAAGTTAAAACATGAAAAACAACATTTTATAAATTTCATGCGTCCGAAGCGCTATAAACATGATAAAAGAAAAAAGTAATAGAGGTTCCCATATTATTTACAATGACGAGGAATTGCTAGATATATGGACAAGCTCTTTGAATTTTTATTTTACTTTGATTTGAAATATAGCATTTTCCACAAGAGTTAAAATTAACCTCTGGTTCATGTTACTCAATCTAAACTTTTTATACATATGTCAATTATTTACAATAGCATTCATATAGGTTTATATTTATTTCGTCTCGCACAATTACTTTGACGAATTCAATAGCAACTTATCCTGACAAAGTTTTTACAACGCTCATTTCTCAAAATTAAGTGTATAGGCCTTTCCACTTCCAGTCTAAATTTTATACTTACTGGACAGGTAATGGTCATGTCATTCGAACACATGTACCAAACACACTCCAAAGCCTTGGTAAAATGTCCGACAACGCAAAATATAAATCTCACGACACAGGAATTACCATAACGTCGAATAAACCTATACTGTAAATACAGAAATTATTGCGATGTTTTTATTATTGCCAAAAATGCGACAGGGTTATAATCGCAATAATTTAAACTCGCATTTTGAAATTTTTTATATGAATTAAACAGGATTTTTCTCAATATCGCAAAAATTAGAATCGCATTTTAGTCTAAAATGACAAAATCGCAATAATAAATGCACGCAATAATTTCTGAATTTACAGTATTTGTCGCTGCAATGAACGAATCTGCCTATTGCTCCGGAGGGGCTTTCAGTGTTAATACTAATCGGGATATTAAAAGAAATTACATTATTGCAGCGTACCCGGAGGGTACCAGATCGGTAGGTATTGTAGCGATAGAGGACAACACTGCCGTGAGGGCAATGTCACATCCCGGAAACAGCACTATAGACTTTCATTTAAAATTCTTTTGAATGAGTATTAGTTACATCAGATGATGTCGACATATCGACTGGAGGGATAATTGAGAGCGACATACCAATCGCAGTACTTTCTGGAAATATGGACTCTCCCATTTATTTTGGTGACAGAAATTTCCAAACAGAAATGTATATATCGACAGATCAATTTACTCTGAGGTATATTGTTTCCAAAATAGCCAATGCCAAACATATCATTCTTCGAATAGTTGCAAGAGATCTGCTTTCTATTGTTTATATCACGGGTAAGATTGGTTCTGTAGGAACACTTATAAGCAATATGTTAATCAGCTAGCTATAGAACTATCGAACAATGGATACTTTATCAACACCCAGAGACCAGTCATGGTTACTTTGTACACAATGTATGAAAGATCAACAGTTCCAGTCGGAAAGCAAGCCCTTAGAAACGACCGTTGTTGCTACTTTCTTAAGACAACAATGGGACTGATATTAAAACCCGCCATTCTGAAATTGCGTTAATTTCGCGGAAAAAATAATTTGGCGCCAATTTGGAATTTTTTCTTTTTTCTGTTTCTTACTTGCCATTAGGGTCAGAAATAGATTTCTTTCGATTTTTCAAGCATGGTTCTTATTATCAAAGAAAATAATACTTAACCATGTTATAAATTGTCCGTCTTTTAAAAATAACGTAATGCCTTTGATCGTCGTTTAAGAATTATGCGAAATTGTCTGTTATTTTTTTCTTCTTTTTTTCCAGATAAACAAAGAATATACAAACTATATAAAAAATATTAATAAGTATCTCAAAGTGAAAACAAAAAACAAGTCTAACGTTCTATCACCCCTTAGGAAACCCCGTTCGAACTAAATTCCAAACGAAAGACATTTTTTGACATTGTAGTTTTTTTATCTTACACATCGATGTCAACTTGCATCTTTACACAATGTACACACATTTAGTGTGTTTGTTTGAAAAAGCAATGGCGAGTTCAGCTGTGAATATTTGACTGGATTAATTATTCTCTTTAAGTCAGTGAATTGTTTGAATTAACTAAAACAAGGTCAGGAAATCGTATACTGTCTTTACACAACCTTAACCAAAACTCATTCATCGTTTATAATATTAAAAAAAAATTTGTGATGAAGTAATCCTGCAGAACTGCCAAAGGTGAATGAAAAAGTCTTGTCCTAAATATGAACTTAAAACAATCTCTTTCAGACTAGCATTTTAATCACTCTTATTCAAAGCATGTTCATACTGACATGAAGTGTGACTTACTTATGACTAGTGATCTAAAACATAATATTGTTGACCAGCACTCAGAATCTGCTCTGAAATACTTTTATATAAATATAAAAATGCATAATTGTTAAAAAAAATTAAATAGAAGAAGAAAAATATTAGACCCAGTCTTTTTTGTTCTTATCTATTTTCAATATCATGATTAGAACCATTTATTTATTGGTTTAGTGTTTTTTTTTTTATAATTTGAGTCCATTCATTAGAATCTGCATGGAATCAGTGAGACAAAATTTATTGTTATATTTAGTTTGTTCATACAAGAATTGCAAACTAATTTCCTTTTATTTCAAATAATGAAGAATTTACATTCAGAATACTTTCATTATGGTCTCGTTTAAGTTTAAATGAAAAAGGTAGGTATCAGTAATGAAAAGGAGTTCCTGTATTTGATAATTTTAATCCTGTCTTGATCCATTATTCATGAATATTTTGGCTACCCCTTGTATGATTAAAGTAGAAATTTATTTCTGTGTTGAAATAATTTGGTTACAGCAGTATAAATACTTATAACCAAAATATAAATATTAAATTAACTCTTGGAATAATAATATTATGGCACATACTGACATAGGGCCTATTTCAGTATTTGAGTATTTCAGTGAGACTGAGTTCTGAAAAGTGATAAAATGTGTTTCGCTAATTTTTTTGCACATGTCTTTAGTATCAAAATATATTCAATAAAATTATTTTAATAATATCCTCATGTAAATAACAGCATATGGTGCTTAATATAATAATAGTTTGATCATGAGAGTGTCAATCAAAGGGACGTAACTCGTAAATTACTATCGGCCCCGCTTCGTCAGAAATATCGACACATCGAAGTGGCACATTTGCGTATTACAGCGTATTAAGTGGCACAAATTTGACATATCATAGTCAAAGTTATGTTACATAACATAATTTAAATTCAGCATAGCTTCCCGAGAAGTTAAGAAAGAAAATTACGATTTTAATTTCCAGTGACCGATTTTTTTGGTCAACTCCTAGACTTTGAAGACACATTTTGAGAAAAAAAATTAGTTTAATACCAATATATTTCTTATATATTCAAGAATGTTCACTTAAAAGCAAATTAGTTTTAATTCATGCAAAATACTACAAATTCCAAAAAACGGGCTTCACTTTTTTTGGTAAAAAAATGCCCATATATGGTAATCACATGACTTCCATTGTTGCTTTAAGAAATGGGGTCAAACCGGGGTCAACTACGTCATAACCACGCCAACCAATTCCAACTATACTAATTACGTCACTGTGATCATTAGTTCAAACGATAATGTAGATGGCGTTCGTCTTAATGGCGGTATTTATTATTCCATGCAGTTGATGTGACACCAGTTGAGATGTTCCATGTTGTTTATAAGGGTATTTCTGCCAGCCTAAATGCCAAGGATACGTCATTCACAAATTCACACATTGACAAAAATGTCAAGTTTGGTCTCCTGGTATATGGCTATAAATACCGTTCGACTTAGAGTATCCAGGTGGATTTGCTTTATCTAAATAAGAATGTAGTTTTTTTTTTCTTTGTTTTAGTTGTAATAAAAATAAGGAGATATGGTTTGATTACCAATGAGACGACTATTCACCAGAGACCGAAGGACGATGATATAAACAATTTTGAGCATTGTACGGCTTCCAACAATGAGCAAAATCTATATCGTATAGAAATTTATCAAGGCCTCGACATGAGAAAATTTGAAATAATTCAATAGAGAAAAACAACGCACTTACTATTGCTAGAAACAATAAACGAAAAAGAAATATAGCAGACAGTAGCCAATGACACCAAATTTATCATAGGCTCCTTATTTGGGACAAACACTGAAATAATGTGATTCCCATTTATCACAGTAAACATGTATTCGTTTTCATGCTTTCCTTGAAATTAAACAATGTTACAGTATATACTCGCAGAAACAAATTTTGACAGCAATTGTCAATGCTTTCGAATGGTAGGCAAGTCCTTTTTAGTAAACTAAGTATTGGAAATATCAACGTGCTACCATAAGTTCATTTCAAAAAACTTTGTATAACTAATTACAAGAACCCATCATTATTTAGCAGCGGACATTTAACACAATTGATGAAGTATTTATACTACAAACCGATTATTTTCTACATTGGGCACAACAAATGGAAGTTTTTAACGACCTTGACTGGCTATACAGCCCTTGCACGGTCGGCTAATTATTTTGGGCACATCGGACCCTCCCCCATCCTTTTGAAAATCCTGAAACATTCACTGTAAATGTTTATTTAACGCGTAGAAACACGCGATCAACCTCTCTTAAATGAGGAATTAGAAAATCAGCGGACAATGCACGATACAAAAAGCAACTTCACAGGTATACGGATCAACAAAATGGTGTATAGGAACAATGTACACAAAAACTAAAGCTTGATACAATACGAACTAACATTGTCATACTAAAACATGTTGGGTTTCTGTTTCATTAATTTAAACCCAATATCCTCTTTTATTCGACATACATTCTGTTATCCGTTTTATAATAAAAAGAATTAACTCTGCAAAAAAACCGACTTCATGTAAGAAAATAATAACTGAATAATCGTTCATTAAATTACTGTATGTTAAGACTTGATCAGCAACAATAAAAACACGCAATAATTGGTGAAGTCACGTAAGCTTTTTCGGAAAGCTTATACTTAGATTTGTAAATTACAATGCTGCAAGGAGACAGTTTTTCACATAAGAGGCAATCTATTGTCAAATGATCAGATTCGATACAAATTAACGCACAGTGATATAATCAGTAGTCCCCACGTTAAGATGTCAAGCGACTGTCTTCCATTACTCTTGGAGTTGACGCTGTTTCAACATAACCTTCAGCTGACCTGTCAATGTCGTGATATGGTCTGTATTCATTTCCGTCTCCTACAAATTAAATAAAATATGTCAAAATAGTTTTCAACTCATAGCAAAACATTTCTTTCGATTTTAGAGTAAGCGTTACATGATATTTGATAAAAAAAAATGTTAGATTACGGCTTTTTATAGTAGGAAGATTGTTGATTGTCAGGCAAAGTAAGCCTTATTCTATTTAGGTCCTTTTGGTGTTTTGCTCTCCAAAATCTTTAATCGGTATTTAAGAATAACCGAATGAAGTTTAATCCACAAACAGGTGTTGAACTCACTTTAATCATTTCAGTTACTAGAACTAGACTGTATTTCATGTTGAGTCCTAATACGGTTAAACTTCATCAGTATACAAAAATGCAATCGAGTTACGTCCTACATAACCAATTAGTTTTAACTGTTTAATGGGTTATTCATATATTGAATTATACAAAATATACATACCAAATCCTGGAATGCTGAAAGGAAGATTAACCGGATTTCCCTGTCTCTCTTGCCACACTTTGTACAGTAGGAAAGCTGTCACTGGTTTTATAATCAAGTTTGTAATGCACATACTAATGTGCAAGTCAGGAAAAATATTCAATAATGGTTAATTCGCCTTTTCAAAATCTAAAAGATGTAATTTTATTGTTCATGCCGCGAAATGAAAATAACGCCATGTTATTGGTTGCATTTCAATTGTTCATGGTGTTGTTAGCCAATCATAACATATAATTATTGTACACTTTTGAAAATAGTCTTCAAAATGTATTTGATTCTGAAACGGTGAATTGATTCAAATTCAAAGTATAAATATCATTCAATTTACAGATCAATTGAAAGCAATAATGATTTTGAATTAAAGAGGCTGGTTGAAAGTTCAGCATTCTGTAATCAAAACTAAATTAATGTTGAGAACTAACTGCTGACGCTTCATGGTAGAGTGAGGTGTATAAAATGTCAGAAGGTTCCAGGGCCGGAGGAATCCTTATAATATAAAAATAAGGAGATGTGGTATGATTGCCAATGAGACAACTATCCACTAAAGTTCAAATAAAATGTGTGAAAGCAATTATAGGCAACCGTCCGGCCTTCAACAATGAGAAAAACCCATACCATATAATCGGCTATAAAAGGCCCCGTCATGTAAAATATAAAACAATTTTAATTGAGAAACCTAACGGCCTAATTTATAACAAAACAAATCGTGTCAGTTAAAGATATTAGATATTGACTTTTAATTATATGGCCATGAAATTGTCATTATTCAACAGCCAATTTTTTAAGCTTATTTTGACAAAATTGAACTGCTGATATTGATTGGAATTATTATTTCAATAGTTCGCTCTTAAAGTGTAAGTGTTTTCACATTATACTGTCAAAATCGCAGATAATGCCCTTTTAACTCCGTGTTGTATATTTAGAAGAGCTGGAAATATAATATATATATCCTTAACTTTCGAATAATGTTGGTAAGTCCCATGTAGTTGAAAGGACTCCTTCTCTTTTGGTAGTTTAGTATAACTTAATATAATCCTCTCCAAATAATTACAATATAAAAAAATTCAAGGTGACAGCAATTGTATAATTAAATACAATATAAAAATCAAAAAACAAAAAAATTATTAATTTAAACATAAACAGTTGGATACGAGTACATTTTAAGATACAGCAATACTAATCAAAATATCGTTTCGTATAGCGTATATAACTATGTATATTTCCAAACAATTATTGTGATTTGTTCAACACTAATTTCGTCTGTTCCAGATAAAATATGTTCTATAGAAACAGCAGTTAAGTGTTGGATATTTTTGCAATTGAAAAACATATATAACATACGACAACTTTGATTTACTTGTCAATTAGGCCGTAATAAACCACTTTCGAGTTATATCCTTCACCGGAATAGTTCGTCAATTATGCGCGCCTTTATGACGTCATTTACCAGATAGAGGGGATCGCCTGTATCCCTGCACTATTAAAGTTCATCAAACATCTTCGTGATCGTCATTATGCAGGCTAATTTAGAAATAATGTTTGTTCCGTAGGTACTTAAGGTAGACTGGGTGTCTTCCTCCATCTTGGATTTTGAAATAGCAGATAGCAATCGGTCTAGATCCTTAATGAAATGTGCTAATTTCAAGAGTAGTATATAATTCATGTGTAAGACTTATCATTTAATATAGAAAATTATCTGTTTTATCATATTTACGGCTGTATTTTACAAAAAAAAAACAAGAATATTTGTGTTTGATTCACTTTTTTCCAACTTTGCCACATAAGGGTAGATAACTCAAATATAAGGGGGCATAACGCAGATAAAGTAACCTTTATAATTGAATGTGTTGTGAATTTACCTATTTTATTATGTAGCAAGAAAACGAGTCCGGTGACCCCATTGTTTCCTTTTTCTTATCTGAAAGTATATTATCAGAGCTATCTTCTCATATTTTATCTTAAAATTCTATGGTGTAGTTTTCGTTTTATCACACAAAATTGGGTTTTCCAGGCATAATCTATAAAAAAACGGACAATTTTGTAAAACCTGTAGCGTGATAAAAAGCCTGGTGATCCATACTTTTTATTATATTTTTGAAAAAAGCATGACATAAACTACATTTTGACAAATTATTAAAAAATTCTATGGATTTTAATTTAGACCCCCCCCCCCCCCCCCCATCTACCTTAATCAATTTGCCGAATAATTTGTGCAATATAGCTTCATATTTTTTTACCGCTCGCTCAACATGGGAAGGCAGTGACGTACGCCAGTTCCGGGATACGGAAGTTAGCTGAATCTGTCATGTGACTTTCATCACCACGTGACCAAAATGTAGGCGTTGTCACTTCCAACACATGGTCCGAGGACACAGTTATCGTCCTTTGATTTTCGTTGTCTATACAAATATAGTCCCTAGTGTGGAAAGTGTATAACTTGCAATTTTTTTTTTATACACTTTCCAAATTTATTTCTTTATATTTTGTGCATGAAATATTAAGTAAGGGGATGAAATTACATGTAAAAAAAAATATGTTAAGTAGTGATTTGGTCCAGTTGAAAAAGGTCAAAAATGAATACGTCTAAAGCTGTCAAATTGAATTTTAGACCCCCTTTACATAGAATTGTCAATATTTTGAGTTAGAGCTGAAAGACTTTTCTATAATTTTGATATTATGTGTCCATATAGTAGTACACTACACTGTAAAAATCTTTTTGAGATAGAGCAGGTGCGATTTTTTTAATTTGAATTTATTGTCTAAAACTCGGAAATGTACTATGAAATAACTGTGTTCTCGGGCCAAATGTTGAGCGAACGGGTGAAAAAAGTTTGATCTTATAGTGCACAAAATATTTGAGAAATTAAAATCTAATAAGTGGGTCACCCTCCCTTTAGTCGTACGGGAATAAAGATTACGTACTTACGGAACATAAATTATTTCTAGACTACCCTGCAGAATGACGATTCTGGAAGTGTTTGAAACTTTGATAGTGCAGGGATACAGGCGCGCCTTCTATCTGGTAAATGACGTCATATAGGCGTGCGAAATTGACGATAATTTCCGATGAGAGACATGATTCGAGAAAAGGCCTATACCCCTAAACGCACGAATGATTTTCTAAAACCAAAGTTTTTGACGGAAATGCAACGAACTCGAAAGTGGTCTATTGTTTTGGTATGGGACATAGTATTGATGACGCTCGCACTGTTAACATCGTGGAATATAAGACAAAAATAAAAGTTGAAGTGACTAACAATAAGGAAAATTTATGATGTTGGAGGAGGTGGTGGCGGTGAGGTTGGTATAAACATAACTAATGTATTCCAAAATGATTTTTGAGGCAAAGTGATAAGTAAGGAAATTGCTGGTAAATGATTAACGTCAAAAGGATACCCAAGACTAAATCTGTACCTATTCTTCACACTATCTGAAAGATAAAGCAGATTGTAAATATTAAATCAACTCATTTGTGTACGAAAAAGAAGACAGCAAATGCACATGTTTACACTGATGCAAAGAATAACATTTCATTGTAAATGAACCGGTGCACAAAATTACGAATGCATTTTTTATAATTCGTCATTTTTCAAAACGAGATGCGTATACTGTTATATCTTCTACCAAGATATAAACATTTACTAGACAATTGAACAACCCATGCGCATGTATTAAAAAAACAGAGTATTCAAACGTCAACTTTTGCGCTGGCCGTTACATCATCTGAAATTGAATGTATTCATAATATATAAAAGTGAAAACTTCGAAACGTAAATAAAAAATTATTTTTCTCTGGTAATGATGTACTGTCTTTGTCCATAGGGGTAATCTTAATGACTAAAGGTATACTAGTTTTCGTATAACGTTGCTAAAAGGTAAAAAGATTATGTTTTATCAATTTTGAAAAAAAAGGAAAAACATTTGATGAAATTGAGAATGGAAATGGGGAATGTGTCAAAGAGACAACAACCCGACCAAAGAGCAGAAAACAGCCGAAAACCACCAATGGGTCTTCAACACAGCGAGAAAATCCCGCACCGGAGGCGGGCTTCAGCTGGTCCGAGTACACAGTTATTTCGTAGTGCATTTCTTTTAGACAATAAATGAAAATAAAAAAAATCCCACCTGCGCTTTCTCAATAATATTTTTATAGTGTGTTGTACTACTTTTGGGACAAATTATATCAAAATTATAGAAAACTTCATCGGCTCTAACTCAAAATATGGACAATTCTATGTTAAGGGGGTCTTGAAATCTTTTGACAGCTTCCGAAGTGCTAATTTTTAACCTTTTTCAGCTGGACCAAATCACTACTTTACTTTACAATTCATGACCCAAATTTTTTTACAGTGTAATTTCATCCCCCTACTTGCTATTTGAGGCATAAAACATGAAGAAATACATTTGGAAGGGGTACTAAAAAAATTGGCAAGCAACACACTGTCCACACTAGGGACTTTATTCGCGAATGTGTACTAGTTCAATAAAAATCGACGTCACACTAAACTCCAAAACATATAAAGGAACTTAAATAAAAAACATACAAGACTAACAAAGGCCAGAGGCTCCTGACTTGGGACAGGTGCAAAAATGCGGCGGGGTTAAACATGTTTTGTGAGATAACAAGCACAATCCCTCCCGTTAGGGATTTAGTATCATACCATCATAAAATATATGAAAAGAACATAACCCGTATCATGCCAACAACTGGTTTTAGAATAAATGTGTTTATTTCCGATGCAAAGACCCTATGAGTGAATCAATATTAATACCACAGTATGCCATCTTTAATGACCTAACAACAATATCGTAACTATATCCCTTCTGAATAAGTCTGTTTAAAGGTTTGGTTACCTTTTGAGGTGAATGTCGACATTTTTGTGATTTGTATAGAATTGTTTCGACAATTCCAACTGTCGAGTTAAAAATAATCATTGCTTGCCTGTGTGTTTTGTTTGTGTTTTGGGAAAATTTGTTTTTACTATTTTTTTTTAATTCCATGTTCCTGAATGTGTGGAAAATCAAGAAAAAACCCATTAGATATACTTACCAGGCTGGTTGGGTACCTCGACGGTTTCGTCTGCTATAGGTTGATATATACCAAGAAAGATCATGTCCTGTACAATGGTAAAGCAGTGGAGAACAAAAAACTGTAAAATAATCAAGATTACTATTAGCGGTTTACATTTACATCTTGCTTGTCAATTTGGTAAATATATTTATCTTGTTCAACCCTTACTTATACATATCTTCAGTCCCATATGAATTATTATTTTGTCTAGACAGATTGCATGCATTATTCTTAAAAGCGTTTTTCTGCAGAATACTATTAGTTTGAAATGTGTACAATTTTGTTTATTGAGAAGAGAGGCGGAAGATACTAATGGGATATTCAAACTCATTTTGGAACAATTGGAACATGTAAAACATATATTCTATAACCAGATAAAGGTCAACCAACTCGTGATGGTGTCCATAACAGTGGATATGTTTCGCATCCGCCTATACTGCTATGTTTAGATAGTCTGAAGTCTGAAGTCTGACACAAACACTACCACAACTTTTGAAAATTAAGAAATTATGACTTTTATTGGATTTTTATTAACTTAGTCATATGAAAGTAATATTGTTTGGTTCAGAATAGAACAAAATATATACTGATTTATAGTTCGCTACATGTACATAATAAACTATTGAAAATAAACGGTAAACACAGAGATATGTCTCGCCTTTTTGTAATTTTGATAGTGCAAATGTTGAAATTAAAATAGCAATACTTTAACATGTAATTTATGCAAATATTCGAAGTCAATGAACCATGACTGAAGGTACATGGCTTAATAATTTCTATGAAAATGAGATGTGCCAATGCTAATACAACTGCATACCAAATACCATTGACTTATCCAGAGACATATATATACACATGTGTATATATGTCTCTGACTTATCATAAGTCGTTCCCTTTGAACAAACCTAAACACAAACATTAACTTGTCAACTATGTAAAAGTTTCATAGTCAATGAACCATGATGAAGGGGTGGGGCTATATAATCTCCATGGAAACGGGACTTGCAAATGCCAATAAATTTGCATACCAAATATCATTGACTTAACATTAGCGGTTCATCTTTAACTGATCTAATCACAAACTAATACATGTAAACTAAGCAAAAGTTTCAAAGTCAATAGACCATGAGTGAGGGGGCGGGGCCACATATTCTCCATTGGAAAGAGATGTGCTAATGCTTATACAACTGCATACCAATTAACATTGGCCTACCACTAATGGTTCCCCTTGAACTGACCTACTCACAAACTAATACATGTAAACTAGGCAAAAGTTTCAAAGTCAATAGACCATGACTGAGGGGCGGAGCCAAATAATCTCCATGGAAATGAGATATGCCAATGCTTATACAACTGCATCCCAAATATCATTGACCTACCACTAGTGGTTCCCATAAACGTCATAAACTCACCTAATCACAAACTAATACATGTAAACTAAGCAAAAGTTTCAAAGTCAATAGACCATGACTGATGTTATGTATATGTATTGTCGTATGTGTTTTATAGTAAAGTCGTGAGAGTTGTGTCCCTTTCTATGATGATGCATATTTGTCATGTGATGTAATCTGTCTCTTCTAAATAAACGTGATATGGCAATAGATGTGTTTTTGTTGCTCTCAAGCAAATATTAGTTTAGCGGCATGGGGAGGCACGTATATGTCCCCCATGTACGTAATACGGAGGGGCAGGGTCAAATTATCTCCATGGAAATTAAGGACATGTGCCAATGCTAATACAACTGCATACCAGATATCATTGACCTACCACTAGTGGTCCACCATAAACTAGACCTAATCTCAAACTAATACATTGTTGACGCCGCCGCCGCCGACGACGACGAAGGAAACAGTATACCTATGTCTCGCTTTTTGACTCCATTAAGATGAGACAAAATGGTACAAAATTTAATTAGTTAAAACAAGTGTTTTCGTATGTGTTTTTCATCTTGGCTTATCGTTAATGTAGGTTTTGAAAAGACAGGCAAGAATGGTGGCCGGATATTTCACAATTTTGGAAAAACGCGAACACGAGAAAACGTATGAACACAAATTCGAAAACGAAAAAACGCGAAATGGCGAAAACCAGAAATTACCGCATCCAGCCACCATATCCTTGCCTGATAAAAGATAACAAACCATGAAAACTGCGTCTGAAGATTCATTGTGTACAATGGAAAATATACCAATCAGCAAAACAAACAAATTCATGTAAATGTAAGAATCCGGTAAGAAGCTGGATGTTGTGGCCCTGTATCAATAGATTAAAAACACTGCTTTATTTTATTAGTTTTTACTGAATGTGTGCGGTTTTAACGGCTATGTACGTAACTAAAGTTAATATCCTATTTCTTTTTTTATTTTAGCTAAATTGATAGAAGATATTTCAGTCTCTGTAGAATTGATTTACAGAATATTTTCGTAGATGTAAGACTTGGCGCAAAATTGAGTTTGGTGTATTGGCACTTGTCTAATATCGTTCTAATATTGTTAACGTTGAAGATCGAAAAGATAAAATTTTCAAAAGGTGCATTACTAAAAATATGAAAAAAGATGACATACAATACTCACCACGCCGGAAAATAAAGTGTATAGTAACTTGTCTGAGTTGCTTTCCCCTTCTAAACGTAATACCCGGTATGAATAAGTTTAAGATATAATACAATCATGTATTTGTCTTTTATCCAAAAATATAAATAATATAAAAACGGGTATTTAACTAAAACTAAAAATAAAATACAATTAGGATTAATTAAGATACCATACTTACCAAACCGTCAAGATAAAGTGCATAATCACTGTTACCTAAAATAATGTAAAAAAAATCGTAATCATCATCAGTTCTCTGTCATTTTATTACAGCTGTATTTTCCAAAGAATAATAGTATGAAAATGATTACACCGAAAAACAAAGTGTATGTGTAACTACGTTTGAAATAAAAAAAAAGTACAAAATTATCAAACGTTTGTTTTCATAATTAAGCCTGAAATGAAAATGTTTATTCTTTTAAATAACTTCGAATCGACATTGATAAAAAAAAATTAATCAAGATGGGACCGTATAAATATAGTTATGTATATACTATAATTAAGAATATTTCCTTTTGCATATAAAGCACCTCTTTTGAAATATACCTATATCACTATACATAGAATTTTGCAGTTATTATATTTCTATGTTTCGTAAGAATATGAAATGTTAATTATTTTAGCTATCTTGAATCATGTGTGAATGATTTTATTTATTGAATGTTGTAAGTTGCTGTTAAAAGTGTATTGTATGCATGCATTTGTAAAGGGCCTGCGTATGCATGTATTTGTGCAGGGCCTGTGTATTGTATGGATGTATTTGTACAGGGCCTGTGTATTGTATGCATGTATTTGTACAGGGCCTGTGTATTGTATGCATGTAATTGTGTAGGGCCTTTTTATTGTATGCATGCATTTGTGTAGGGCCTGTGTATTGTTTGTATGTATTTGTGCAGGGCCTGTGTATTGTATGCATGTATTTGTGCAGGGCCGGTGCATTTTATGCGTGTATTTGTGCAGGGCCGGTGCATTTTATGCGTGTATTTGTGCAGGGCCTGTGTATCATATGCGTGATATTGCACGGGGCCTGTTTATTGTATGTTGTATTTTGCTGTTGAATGTGTATTGTATGCATATATTTTTGCAAGGCCGTTGTATTGTAAAAAGTAAAATCACAAAAATACTGAACTCCGAGGAAAATTCAAAAAGGAAAATCCCTAATCAAATGGCAAAATCAAAAGCTCAAACACATCAAACGAATGGATAACAACTGTCATATTCCTGACTTGGTAAAGGCATTTTCTTATGTAGAAAATGGTGGATTGAACCTGGTTTTATAGCTAGCTAAACCTCTCACTTGTATGCATGCATTCCCTTTCAGTCAGATAGGTCCTAACGTTCCTACGTATTTATACACCCCTGGTTATTCCCTTTCAGTCAGATAGCTCCTAACGTTCCTACATATTTATACACCCCTGGTTATTCCCTTTCAGTCAGATATAGCTCCTAACGTTCCTACATATTTATACACCCCTAGTTATTCCCTTTCAGTCAGATATAGCTCCTAACGTTCCTACGTATTTACACACCCCTAGTTATTCCCTTTCAGTCCGATAGCTCCTAACGTTCCTACGTATTTACACACCCCTAGTTATTCCCTTTCAGACAGATAGCTCCTAACGTTCCTACGTATTTATACACCCCTAGTTTTCAAATGTTTTGCGGGTTTGAGCGATCCTGATGTTGATCAACCAAGAAAAGCGCTTCGATCAAAAGCACGATATTATAAAAAAAAGTGCTTATTTTTAATTTTTTATGCGGGATCTGTGTTTTATATTATGCACTTATTTGTGCAGGGCCTCAACTAACGTTAGCCAAGTTTAAATTGAGTTACCCTCCTTAAATGAATAATTCATTCTTCTTCTTATGATTATCATTACAGTAGTACATGTGTAGTAGTATTAGAATTAATATTAGTAATAGTATTTAATTTAGTATAGTAGCAGTAGTAGTAGTAGTAGAAGTAGTACATCTTAACCGACCATTTGGTTGTCAAACAATGCAAGCCGTCTTGATTTGACAACGTTAAGTTATATCGAAAATTCAACAGAAAGATATTTACATGTATATTTTGTAAGTCATAACAATATAAATTACCATGCTTGACTCGTAATGAAATTCAACAACAACAAAACAATGAATAGTTTTACCCTTCCTCGTTTTAATTTCCGCATTCAATACAGTGGTTTCAGTTTAAACTCTAATTTATATTTTATATAATCAATTATTGTATTTTACATTGAGACAAGGAAATAAACAAACAAAAATATATATACAACCTTTAACAAAAGTTTAGACGACTCCATTATCCTTTAGTCATATATGAATATAAGTATTCTATAATCCTTTCATAGTGATGTTATCATAGTCATAAGATGAAATTGACTTCGACGCAATTGTCAATTTCCCGAATTTTACCGAAGTACTATACACACATGTGTAGGATCGGTGGTCTCTTCAAAAGGAAGTACATGTTACACACTATTGGAAACGGAGGTTGTCAATTATCTTGTATATGTGTGGAAATACTGTCACAATTATTTTACCATTTAAAATATGTCAAAAATATTTGAAAAAAGAAAAATGGTTTCATATAAAAATAAGAGACTGGTATATGATTGCCAATGAGATAACTCTCTAACAAAGACCAACTGACGTAGATTAATTATTTGCTTTTATTTCAATAAAAGATCAATGAAATACAATTATCCAAAAGACACAAGACGTTGTAGCGAGCATTAATCAGTCAGTTGAATTCAAAATACTTAAGCTGCATTTTAAAAAAATTAAAAACTCGTAAGGACGAAAAATGTATGTACTTTATTTTTAATAATATGATCGAAAATCCAATCCGTTTGATTAAATTTTGAAATAATGTGAACTATTGCATCCGATGAGATTTCTACAAGTAAAGGAACGACTATTTAACTTCAAGAAGGGTGGGGGTTTATGGTTTTTTCCTAAAAAAATATTCTGATCTCCAATTTGATAAAAAAAAATATTGTAGTCAAGCAGATGACAAAAAATATTCTGAATCCAGATTTTCCCCGTACCTTATAGTGTTAAATTTTGAAAAAAAAATAATTTGATTGATAGCGTCGAAAAAATAAAACAAATGTTCTGACTCAGACAAAAAACCATAACCCCCACCCCCCTCCCTTTTGAAGTTAAATGGTTGCTCCCTAAGCACTAGAAATGTGTGGCGACAAAATGTTGTCGTTGCTATTTAAAAAAAAGTGGGGAGGAAACTAACTAGCAAAAGATTAGAGAGATACAGGTCATAAAACACTACACATGCAGAAAACAAATTTATAAAACATCTAACACGACCCCCCCCCCCCCCCCCCCCCACCCAAAAAAAAAAAGAAGAAGAAAAAAAAACCAAAACGGGAATGATGATGAACCTAGGTCTCCGGAAAGGTCAAAGCTTCCTGCTCCGCTAGTGGCAGGCGTATTGATTTTTCCTGTTCATATCCGTTGATGTTACATAATCATATTATCTTAACCCTAAGAAATTTTCAAATGTATTTCATAAACATATGTATCTTCTCTGACCCAAACACAAGGCATATTCAATATGAAGGCCAAGGTTGTAATTTAAAAAATACTACTGTGGATACTAGATTTCGGAAACAGACAGAAAATGTATATTTCGTTGAACATTTAAATTCGTGATTTACCTTTACTAAAACAATCCACGAAAATGTGTACCCCACGAATATAAGTAACCCCGTCACATGTTCTTTCACTTATGCAAAGTCCGGAACCATGTCAGTGGTTTTTTTTGTTATGTCTTAATGTTATGTCAAATGGGGAATTTGGTGTTGGTGGTGAATATTTGGTTGTCTAGGTTTAGTTAATTCACTTTTATTCACATTTGTCTCTTGCCGTAGTTTGGCCTTAATATATTTCAAAGGGAGAGGAGGAGTGTCGTTGTCGTGATAAAGACGGATAAACCACTCTTTCATTTTCAGCTGTTCAAGTTAATCATGAAATATTTGCTACTTGACGTTAATTCAAACAATAATCAACAAAAGGCGTATTTAACACGTTTATATCAAAATGATAACAATAGAATTATGATTTATAATTATATGCTATTTTGTCGACACTAGGAAAGCAGAAGCCAATTTTGCCAGTAAAAAGCAGATTTTATTTACAGATATGCAATTCAAAGAACTGACTATTATTTCAAAAGCAAATTTAATTTAAACATTTTTGATTTCGAAGCTATGTGATTGATTTTGTTAGATTTTATAATGTTTTATCAAATTGATATAACGTTAGGGTACTCAAACTGCACCTATTTTGACAGTTTTTTCACCTACGTTTATTTATGATCCAGACAAAAGTTTTCATTCTGTGTTTATTTTTTAGATATATCCTCATTTACTATATAGTTCCACCAATTTTCTTATTTTGAATTTATATTGAATCATAGAAAAACGAGTTAGAACCCACTTCCAATCGATCCATGATTCTATACATGAAGGGTACTCAAATCGATCCATGATTCTATACATGAAGGGTACTCAAATCGATCCATGATTCTATACATGAAGAGTACTCAAATCGATCCATGATTCTATACACGAGGAGTATTCAAATCGATCCATGATTCTATACATGAAGAGTACCCAGATCGATCAATGTTTAAATTCACATCCGTAAAAATCGAATAACTTTTACTGATGTTAGAACAATTTGACAATGGTCCATGCTTGCTATCCATTTTTTACGAAATGGATGCCCCTGTAACAGGTCTTAATAGATCATTTATAAAAGTTACTTTTTGTGGACGTTTCCGTAGATTTTACTTTTTGGAGTGGATACTTCATCTGTTGATATATACTGTGAACGTTTTGTGTATATTTAAATATATTTAGCTATGTTGAAAGACGTGCATAATGTCAAACTATTAAAATACAAAATGTTTAGTCTCGAAGAAAACTTGTATGATTTCCGTTGCTATTTGCGCCGGCAAAATAGCCACTGCCATTTATAAGTAAAGGTTTTGAGATATGTAAAACAAAGTTTATATATAAACCAAACTTGTACTATCATTAAAAAAGATATCTGAAGCGTTTAGATGTGAGCATAGAGTATAAAACAAACCATGAATCTTTATCAAGTTATTTTTCATCACAGTTAAAAAAAAATTGCACTTTAGATGTGAGCATAGAGTATAAAACAAACCATGAATCTTTATCAAGTTATTTTTCATCACAGTTAAAAAAAATGCACACAATTTGACGGCTAAAGCCTGTTTACAGTTTCTCGCAATCTATTAGTTTCCAAGCTAATTGCCAGGATGAAAAAAGGAGTTGACATTATTGCCTGTGATGACTTTTTTGTAGATCTTATCTTGTTGGTCATTTTTTGCTCACAATTTTCTTTTTATCATTGCTTAAGAAAAAATAAAAACTCAAAAGATTGGCCAAATGTGTAATTCAAGGGCAGTAACTCCTTTCAGTAGTCCATCACAACCTTGTTTATGTTGACTAATTTGTGGATCTTGTTAATATTGACTAATTTGTGGATCTTTTTTATGTTGACTGATTTGTGGATCTTGTTAATGTTGACTGATTTGTGTATCTTGTTAATGTTGACTGATTTGTAGATCTTATTTATGTTGACTGATTTGTGGATCTTGTTAATTTTGACTGATTTGTGGATCTTATTTATGTTGACTAATTTGTGGATCTTGCTTATGTTGAATAATTTGTGGATCTTGTTAATGTTGACTGATTTGTGGATCTTGTTAATGTTGACTGATTTGTGGATCTTGTTTATGTTGACTAATTTGTGGATCTTATTTATGTTGACTGATATGTGGATCTTGTTAATGTTGACTAATTTGTGGATCTTATTTATGTTGACTGATTTGTGGATCTTGTTAATGTTGACTGATTTGTGGATCTCATTTATGTTGACTAATTTGTGGATCTTGTTTATGTTGACTAATTTGTGGATCTTGTTAATGTTGACTAATTTGTTGATCTTGTTAATGTTGACTAATTTGTGGATCTTGTTAATGCTGACTAATTTGTGGATCTTGTTAATGTTGACTAATTTGTGGATCTTGTTAATGTTGACTAATTTGTGGATCTTGTTTATGTTGACTAATTTGTGGATTTTGTTAATGTTGACTAATTTGTGGATCTTGATTTTGCTGATTATTTTTACTGTTTTCAATTTTTCTGTATCTATTATATACCTATATCAAACAAAGTTAACCTTTGATGGAATTAGCTATTTCATATCTCCATGAGTCATATACTGGTAGCACCCAACGTGTTCAAGTACTTACAATCCTTGGTTTTAAAATTTCAGTTGGAGTTTGAACACTCTGGATGCAGGTAAATCGAGAAAAACACCATGGACGCACAATTTTTCATACACTTTAAGTTTAATTTTCATCATCAATTATAGTTTCCAAGACAATTGCCAAAGACGGTTAAATAAAGCATAATCATCTTTCAAGGCCAATAACTCTATAGCAGACAATTGACAATTTTGTGGTGTCAAATTTATACTTTCTGGAAAGGGTTAAATTGCAATATAGGAAAATAATAAAACAGTTCATAAGGAAGATTTAGAATTCATTTTTAATTCACATAAACAATCATAAATATAAATATTCTAATGGATGCTTCCTACTGACTAAATAAATACATACAAATGCTTATCATTTAATACGATTGGAATGTTAATTTAAAGCAAATATATAGTGTTAAAGCTATCATTTCACATACATGTACATAATAAAATATGTAAATAAAACAATTTCAAATGATTTCCCAATACACGTACAGATAATAATTAATTTTTCACAATTAACTATGTAAGTTATTCCAAAGATTTTCTTCAATTCATAATTATAATCTCATTAAGCAGAAATATAAATGCAAATAAGATGAAAGAATAGAAAAATGTTGTCCAGCAAACCATGATCCTGTCATTTTGTGCTGAGTTGGAATTAAGAACAATCAATCTAGCATGCAATACTATACATTTATTTCCCGTGCCTGAGGGAGATATTATCAGATTATTACATGGCATTTTTCATATCAGATGTATTATCAGCCCAAGAACCAAAGGCTCGATGGGCTGATATTGACTGAGGGCTGATAATATATCTGATATGCAAAATGCCATGTTATGATCTTTTTATCATATGTTTCAACAATGGAGAAAAATAACAGTTTAGTATATTGATCCTTTTAAGTGGTTCTCAAGTAGAAGTTCAAAAAGTGAAAAGTTTACAGACGACGGACACCAAATGTAATACATCCCATATGAAATCTTTCATTCATATGCCTCAACGGAGGAGAAAAACAACTGTATAATATATTTTTATATTGACGAATAAAAAAAAAATAAACAAAACATGATCTTATTATGAACACTGTTTGGAAAAGTCAACATTTGTAAAGTAATTTGCTAAATTATGCTGGAAACTTTGAAAAATACATTTATTGTATCATTTGTTTTGCATTTTACATAATATATTTTCCTGTTTCGTAATATTTGTTTTGTACCTTACTTTATATTTTTCACTGAAAACCTACCATTGAGGTGTATTGTCCGGCATTTGCCGAGTAATGTTGGAATGCCATGCGATAATGTTACGAAAAGGCATGCGATATTAGCCGGAATCAGTCGATAAATTTTTCATATCAGCCAGCTAAGCACCATTTATGTCATGGGAATAACAATTTTAACATTGCAACTATGAATTATTTAAAAAAAACTGCAGAGAAGTAATATAAATGTGTTGCAGATTCAAATCATTCCAATGTGTAAATTTTAATTTCCCTCGACCAACCTGGATCCCCCTCCTTAAGGGATCAGTAGAACAGGTTTTAGACTCTGTGATTGCAAATGCTCTAAACTGCCTCAATTACATTTATTCTAAAATATGGTCCTAAATATGTCTGCTATATTTTTACTACTGGACGTTAAACAACATGCAATCAATCATTCTAAATCACTTCTATCATAATTAAACTAGCTACCAAATAATAAAATGAATTTGATGAAAAAATGGAGTATGAAAAAACACCAGTAAAATTATGTCTATCAGAATTACTTATATACATATACAGATAAAGGTAGATCTAATGACCACATATAACATAATTTCAATCATTCACAACCAGATTTAATAGTAGTTCCAGCCTGTTTAATAAAACACAATATAAAATAATGGAATGTTTGAATATAACATATCTAAATACATGACTTAAGATTATTCAATTATGATGCAATACATTCAGATTTTTTGCAATGCTATTATTATTGCAAAAATTGTGACAGACCAAATTTCGCAAAAATAAAACTCACATTAAATTTTTTTTATAGCATTATCTATAAGTAACATTTCTGGAAATGGCAATAACAAATATCACATTTTTTTGGTCCCTTGATCAACAACTACAATAATGAATGCAACCAAAATTTTCAGAATTTACAGTTCTAGCCTGTTCAATGTAACAAAATATAAAATGCTGGAATGTTTAAATATTTGTGTTATATTGATAAATATATATATACCCTGTTTAAAAGCTTAAAAAATCATACACAACAAATACTGAATACAAGTAAAATTTTTAATATTCTTTATAGACAAGTTTTCAATTTCGATTTTATTAATTAACTGCCCCGGTTGACTGAGTGTCATTAAGAGAAAACAAGTCATGGGACATTGTGACATGAAGATGTTTGCGTTGTGAAGTCAAATTTTTCAGGGAAAAAGAACAAGTTGGAAGATCATGTATAATTGATCACATTGCATGGTTTAACACAGATTTTTCAAAAGCTAGGTTTTATATTTTAACCCCTGCATTTAACTACTCTTCACTGCAATTGAAGGATTACTTTATGTATTTGCTGTATATTTAGACAATATATCATATAAAAATAATTGAAGCTAAAATGATAAAAAAAAAAAAAATTTGGCGGGAGATAATTTTATTTGGTTGGCTTTTAATGAGTTATTTCCCTTTTCGAGTAAATATTTTGTTAGCATATTCTTCTCAGGACCACACTGTGACATATAAAATATAAAGCTATCTGTTAGAAATGGGACAATCAAAGCATTAAAAGATGTGTTAGATGAAAGATCTTTAGGAAATAGATTTGCTTGCAATTAAATTACAGTTATGCAGATTTTTAAAGGGGATTTTTACTCGTATCATTTCAAATGTAAAATATAAAATACTTAATGTACATGATATATGTAAATGTCTAGCTTTATGTGACCACTTTCAAGAAGACAAGTCAGGATGGTACTGACTGAAAATTCTGGAGTTAAATTTCCAGGTTGACACCGAATGTATCAATGTTTAATTATTCAGCCTAAACAATGCCATAATACTCTTCCTGTTAGAACAAATATTTCGTACCTTTAATTAAAGAAACAAATAGTATAATTTTTGCCTCAGTGGAAATAATAAAACAGAATATTACTTCCACTTGGAACTTATATCATGAAGGAACTTCTATTTCATGAAAAATGGATAACATGCTCTAGGTTGCACTTTGTAAATACATCTCGTAGAGACATAACTTGGGACCAGTAAATATACACATGCATAGCGGTCAAATTGAAATCTGTGGAAGACCAAAAGTGAAGGGAGGGGTAGTACAGAATTTTTGTACAAGTTTAAACTCTTAGAAGTTCGGGGCATATAAATGTTGAAAAACACAGCCCTATATTTTGACCTTTGAAAAAAATAATAGTGCATATAAGCTTTCCATTCTAGGACATAATTTTATACAAAACTTCATAGTAAAAGTGGTACAGTTTTAGTCGTAAAGGGAGTTCCTATGGGAAATTGCATTGTCTATATATACAGAATTGCAACCTCTAATGAATATTTTTTTCTTTATATGACATGTGATAAATTTGTTTAACCTTCAAGTCGTGTTTTAAGTCAAATATTATAGAATGGAAATTTTTTTAGAGAAGTGTCTACATTCCCAACAGTCATACAAAATTAAGTATATAATAACATATGCAATTTGACACTTCTTCAAAGTGAGGCATGGTTTGTAAATAAAAATCCACTGCCCCATTATAACGGTCATGCTGCTATTTTCAAGGTTGACAAAGCTTAACTTTTAGTAGGCCTGTTTTTTACAGTAGAGGATATTAAAATAAAGATGTACAAACATTGACCTTATAAAATGTTTGCTACATAGTTCCCTTGTATAAAAATGGAGATTTTTCCACTCAAAAAAGGGTCAAACAAGAATGTGTCCATAGTACATGGATGCCCCACTCGCACTTTCATTTTCTATGTTCAATGGACCGTGAAATTGAGGTCAAAACTCTAATTTGGCATTAAAATTAAAAAGATCATATCATAGGGAACATGTGTACTAAGTTTCAAGTTGATTGGACTTCAACTTCATCAAAAACTACCGTGACCAAAAACTTTAACCTGAAGCGGGACAGACGGATGGATGGATGAACGGCCAGACGAACGAACGGAAGCACAGACCAGAAAACATAATGCCCCTACTACTATCATAGGTGGGGCATAAAAACAAATTTCTGGATGCAATAAATGTTTGAAAATTAATCTCTTATGATAATCCAAAAATCAAACCATATAATCATTTGAAAAATTCTCAGCTTCATGAAATACAAGCAATCGTACACAACCAGGTTCACAATATGGACAAAGGAATTGAAGAAAATGTAAGTATTGCCCCATACCTGATTAGAATTGTGAATAGGGACACATATAAATACATGTAAAAATTATTGATTTAAAACAAACCAAAAAATTGTTTGGTCTATATTAGATAAATAGCTATGGTATTTATTTTTCTCTTTTGTTGTTATACTTCAATATCCAGTTAAGTCGCAATTGTTTTGAGAATATTTTTCACAACTTTTTCATAAGAACCAGAACTCTAAAGACAACCTTTTCTCTTATTTTTTTTGTTTGTTTTAAATTGCAAATATTTCTATGCAGTAGCTCTACAGTGTAGAGCAAAAATATTGATAAAGGTTCATTAATTATTGCACAAAAAAAGCTTTAAGATGTACACAGATTTGATGATTCAAGGGGTAACATGGGGATCATCTATTCCTTTAGGTGCTGATGCAGTTTCCACATAGTTACTGGATGGCACTGATTGGTCTATATTTTCATATTTACTATCATGTTGGTTACCTATTAAAGAAAACAAACATTTTGGTTATTTTACTGATTATTTGATAAAGAATACAAATATATGTACCACATTAGAGCTATTGAAAATTTTCGATTGATGCAATTTGAGCAAGAGTTATTTCCCTTTGTGGCCATGTTGGAGGTCAACAAAATTATTTCACATTCTTTCACTTGCATATAACGTTATAAAGGGGCATAACTCAAGAACGGTATGAGTGACACCACCCAATTTCGAACTTGATCTGTGTTTTCTGGTAATAAGCATTGTGTACAAGTTTCATAACATTTGGTTCAGGCAACCTAAAGTTAGAGAATGGAATCCAATTTTGGGGTGTACTTACGTATGGATATACAGATGGACAGACAAGGGTTACACTAAATGCCCCCTACGGTGATAGTGGGGGCATAAAAATCAAGTTTTCTGAACACGTTTAATTTCTTGAAGACTTGCATAATTCATCACTACACTCAAGTATGAATGATATCTTCTCATACTGCTTGTACAGCATGATTTAATTAGGTTTGTCAAATTAAAATCAAGAAAATCAACCAGTTATACCTCCAACATGGCGGGCAAAGAAATAGCTAAAACTCAAATTATGCCATCTATCTATTCCATTAAAATTGTTATGGGAGGGTAAGAATGAACTTCCAAAATTCCCCAACAACCAACATACTTTCTTAAAAGTAATTTTGCATACATCAAATGAATTCAAAACCCTGAATGACCTACACCCCATGTCCAAAAACAAAACCTTCCATTTAATCCTCCACATCAATTTTAATGGAAAATTGAAAATTTATGTATCCTATAATTATTCTAACACATTCAACTTCTTGTTAGATATGTTCAAAATTTCCTTTTTTTTAATACATGTATAAATATTCCATACTTCAGTTTTTCGTAGTATTTAGCAAATTATATATACTTTATTTTTTAAATACATTTCACAAAATTGAACTCCACTGGCACTTGAAATTAATATCTGTTCTCTCATTCAATATAATTTTCCTATTTCCTATTAATGATAAAATTGACAAATAAACTGTACACAATGTATTTGAATCAGATCATTTTGACAATTTAATCAAATAATAAAAAGGCAAAGTGCAAACATAATTTTCAAGCTGAAGATACTTAATTTTTATTTCTTATAGATGTAGATGCATTTCTGCTGTTGATTTGACTGATGTAGAAAAACATATATATAAGTACCTACCCATTCCAGGAATTCCAGGAATGTTAAAAGGCAGATCAAATGCATGGCCTTGTCTATCCTGCCAGATTCTGTACAACAATATGGCCGTCACTGGTTTTAAAATCAAATTTAAAATGCACATTCTGATTTAGTGTTAAGGAAAAGAATTAATTGATTGATTTTTGGTGTTTAACACCACTCAGCATAATTAGCACTATTGGTAATTTCTTTGTAGCAAGTTTTATTTGGTGCAGGAAGCTGGAGTCCCTGGAGAGGGAAACACAGACCTTCAGCAGGAAAACTGTTAATCCTAGTCAACGACGAGTCAAACACACCTGCCATTTGTGAGGCTAGTATTACAGTAGATGAACTACTTCAACCACCAAGGCCCCACTTCAGTAGGAAGAACAAACTGATGCAATCAAAGTCATGAGGCATAGTTGGCTGAAATTACCTAGCTAAATAGGTATACCTTCTGTAAATTCACTATTTCACTTGCCATTTATTTCGACATTTCAAGGACTGATGATGATAAAAAATATGGTTCCTGTACTGATGCAACATGATGGTCTGGATTGGGTTTACAGAATATCACTCACATCAATTTCACGTGAATTCATGTGAAAATCACATGAATTTTACGTTAAAATAACATAAACTTTTTTCACATGAAATTCATGTGAATGTTTTAAAATAAAGTAATTTAAATAACATTTAAATTTTCAAAATTAGAATCATGAAAAATACCTATTTTTTTTTTTTTGGTAAAATTTTTCACGTGAATTACTGTAAATTCAGAAATTATTGCGAGGTTTTTATTAATGCGAATAATGCGACTGGGTGACTATCGCAATAATAAGAAATTGCATTCTGATATCTGTTACATATATCTGTATGCAGATTATCCTGATATCGCAATAATTAATCTCACATTTTTGTCCATCCTTGAAAAATCGCAATAATAAATGCACGCAATAATTTCTGAATTTACAGTAGCTCATTTGAGGTGAATCTCACGTGAAATTTTTCATGTAAATTTCATGTGAGATTCATGTGAAATTCACATGAGCAAATTTTGCCTGTGTAGAGAATACTATGGACTCGTATGTTTTTGTGTGTATCAATTTTCATGCATTGATGAAATTTATATTTCAATTATTTGATTGCATGGTTTTGCCAAAGTATGTATAAAAACTTATAGAAAATTTGTACTTCCTTGAATATCTGGTTCATCTGTTCTAAGGAAACCCGAGAAAATTCGTATACCATGAATAACACTATAGTGGATCACCAGTAATGGGCAAAAAAAATATAAAAATTTCCTCATATAATAAAAGTTTAAAATTTCTAAAGGATACCCAAGGCTAAATCTGTACAGATTCTTTTCCCTCGCATCCTCTGAAATATAAAAAAAAGTTCAAACAAAGCTGTATACAATACAAGTAGGATAAAAAAAAAGTATATGTCTGTTTACGGTAATCCGAACAATCCTATTTTTGAGCACCGACCAGAAGTCACTTTACCGGCCCATGGACAATTCACATGACTCAAAATCATGTCGAAAAAATAAAATGAAAAAAATAAAATAAAATGGAATACCGACCTACCTACCCTATTTTTTTTAATGATGTAACCTTAAACAGCCGTATATTTTTTTAACCTAGTACGAAGTTCCACGTTCTAAAGAAACCTTATCTTTAATTAGCCTGGTTGTATAACTTACCTTATATCACAAAACAAGTGAGGAAAAAAAATTATTAATAACAAGACTTAGAGACACAAAAAAAAGTCTGAAAACAAAAATCTGAATAGTGGCAGTGCCATTCTTTTATAAAAAGTCATGAAAATAATGTGTTTGTATAAGGACGAAACTTACTGTCAGGTCTCTCAAAATAATCATGTCCCATTGGTTCAAAGACACCCAGGAATATGATGTCTTGTATCATTGTAAAACAGTGGAAAAATAAGAACTGCAATAAAATAGAGCATCATTTAATTTCAGTTTCATCATGTTTCATTGGTTCAGATCTTAATCTATTAGCAGTGCTTTGGGAAATTGCTTCTGCAATATTCTACAAAATTTTAAGATATGATGTATATATAATGTTACTACTATCTAATTCAATTAAGGATGTTCGCTACTTTGTTTCAAAATAACAAGCTTTTTGAAAGACTATAATAAATTGATAGTATATACATAAAGGAACTTAAAAAACAGATAAAAATTAAGGGTCCATGTGCTTGTTTTCGAGATATAAACCATTGAAAATTTGGCGGGAAATGATTCTCTCTAGATTTTTCATACATTTAACATTGGCATATTTTTTCTTTCAAAAACTATGAAAAAATAACAAGGATTTTATAAGATTTTGAAATATGACTTTTTAAACTTTTTGTAATGATATTATGAAAAGAAAAGTAGAGGTTAGTGGGCAAAAGTTTTTAATGGCACTACATGGATAAAACCAGAGGATTCTTAATATCTGGCAAAAATTCTATAACAAGAGAAGAGAACATCCTTAAACAACATTTTCAGTCCTTCCTTTTAGATGAATGTAATTTTTCAACCCAATCATGCCAATGTAGGATTAAAACAGGTTGTCAAAATGGCAGCAAACCGTTTCTTTAACATTTAAGGATGTAGTCAGGTGAAATTAAAAAAATGGAGAATGTATCCCCATAGACACAGATGATGCCCCCGCTTGCATACAACATTATAAAGGGACATAACTCAAGAACAATAAAAGTGACGCTACCCAAATTTGTACTTGATCTTAGTTTTGTGGTAATAAGTATTGTGTATAGGTTTCATGTTTAGTTGGGGCAAACTTAAGTTACAGAACGGAAACTAAATATTTTGCAATTTTTCGATTTATAAAGGGGCATAACTCAATAATGGTTAAAGTGACACTACCCAAATTCAACTTGATCATGTTGATCTGTGTTTTATCAGTGGAAGGCAAAATTAAACATTGCATTGTATAAAGCATTGATTGTAGTTGATTCAACTATAATCATGGACAAAGGAAGATAACTTCAATTTTAAAAATTACTTGAACAATGACATCATTGATATATTTAGAAAAAAAATGAAAAATTTAGCAATTTTTCCATTTGTAAAGACATGAAAGAGGCATAACTCTAGAACAGTAAAAGTGTCGCCACCAAAATTCAAACTTGATCTGTGTTTTGTGGTAATAAGCATTGTGTATAAGTTTGATAACATTTGATTGAGGCAAACTTAAGTTAGAGAACGAAAACCAATTTTGGGACATACAGACAGACAGACAAGGGTAAAACTTAATGCCCCCTCCGCTTCGGCAGGGGCATAAAAATCTAGAATATATTAAAGAACATAGTTCCAATTGATTTTTCGAAAAAGTCTAAGACATTGCTGATGTAAACCTACAATATAAATTTGATAAAAATCTGGCAAGAATTGTACACATGAAAGCACTAACAATGCAAATTTCCATATACATGTACATGTAATTAATGTTTCCAAGCGGCATAACTCTTTTAAACGCGTCAAAGTAGTTCATCAGCACTGATTTTTGAACTTGTCCAAGACAATGCTGATATACACCTATAATATAAGTTTTATAAAAATCTGGTAAGAATTGTACACATGAGAGAACTAACAATGAAATTTTCCATATTATTAATATTTCTAAGAGCCATCACTCTTATAACAAGAGTGCACACGCTGAAATGTCTCGCCTTCTTTACTAATCATTGATATTATGTTGATAGTCCTAAATATAAAGCTTTACTACAACTATCACATACACTTAACATGATCCAAGAAAATGAGGTCAAGGTCATATAAACCAAACAAGAAATACATGTACACCTTACAATCATTAAATACACTAAATATAGTTGACCTATTGTTTATCATGTTTATAGTTTCTAAGATAGACTTAATCAAGAAAACTAAACATTGACCAATGAACCATGAAAATGAGGTCAAGGTCAGAAGAACCATGCCAGGCAGACATGTACAGCTTGCAATCCTTCCATACAACAAATATAGTTGACCTATTGCTTATAGTATTAGAAAAACAGACCAAAACACAAAAACTTAACACTGAGCAATGAACCGTGAAAATGAGGTCAAGGTCAAATAAAACCTGCAAGACTGACATGTACATTATAAAATATTTCCATACACCAAATATAGATGACCTATTGCATATACATGTAGTATTAGAAAAAAAGACCAAAACTCAAAAACTTAACTTTGACCACTGAACCATGAAAATGAGGTCAAGGTCAGAAGATACCTGCCAGCTAGACATGTACACCTTACAATCATTCCATACACCAAATATAGTGACCTATTGCATACAGTATAAGAAAAACAGACCAAAACACAAAAACTTAACTATTACCACTGAACCATGAAAATGAGGTCAAGGTCAGATGACACCTGACGGTTGGACATGTACACCTTACAGTCCTTCCATACACCGAATATGCTAGACCTATTGCTTCTAGTATCTGAGATATGGACTTGACCACCAAAACTTAACCTTGTTCACTGATCCATGAAACGAGGTAGAGGTCAAGTGAAAACTGTCTGACGGGCATGAGGACCTTGCAAGGTATCCACATACCAAATATAGTTATCCTATTACTCATAATAAGAGAGAAATTAACATTACAAAAAATGTTAACTTTTTTTTTCCAGTAGTCACTGAACCATGAAAATGAGATCAAGGACAATGGACATGTGACAGATGGAAACTTTGTAACATAAGGCATCTATATACAAAGTATGAAGCATCCAGGTCTTCCACCTTCTAAAATATAAAGCTTTTAAGAAATTAGCTAACGCCGCCGCCGCCGGATCACTATCCTTATGTCGAGCTTTCTGCGACAAAAGTCGCAGGCTCGACAAAAACTATTGACTGGCACTGATTTTCGTACTTGTCAAAGACATTGCTGATTTAAACCTACAATATAAGTTTCATAAAAATCGGGCAAGAATTGTACACATGAGCATGATGAGAGTGCTAACACTACAATGTAATTATACCATAAAAAAAAGAGTTGTGCGGAGAATTGATACTCTAAGTCAGAAGAGCATTAGTTAAGGAACCAAATAAGCTTAAAATATTGACAGGTTATGAACTCCTTTTCAGAAATATTTGATTTTTTAACTAGAGGCTCTCAAGAGCCTGTGTCGCTCACCTGTATTTACTGTGGTTTTGGAAATCATGTAAAATAAGGTTAAAATCATAATAAATAGTATTAGATAACCCAATAATGATTAAGACCAAGTTTGGTTAAATTAAAAGCAGGTCATCCCATTGTAGTCTTACAATAGTTACTGAAGACCCCTTATCATTATTTAAATTAGTTTTCAAGTTGTGATCATTTGAAATCGTTGTTTTACAATTTTCTCATACACTTCTCATGCTTCTATAGTAAACCCTATGTTCTATTTTGAGCCATGGCAGTCATCTTGGTTGATGGGCAGGGGTCATCGGATATATTTTTTAAACTAGATACCCTAAGGATGATTTAGGCCAAGTTTGGTTTAATTTGGCCTAGTAGTTTCAGAGGAAAAGATTTTTGTAAAAGATCACAAAAATTTACGAAAAATTGTGAAAAATTTACTTTTTAAAGGGCAATAACTCCTTATGGGGTCAATTGACAATTTTGGTCATGCTAACTCATTTGTAGATCTTATTTTGCTGAACAATTTTGCTGTTTACAGTTTATCTCTATCTATTATAATATTCAAGATAATAACCAATAAAATGCTCCGCTGGGCGCAGCTTGATACGACCGCAGAGGTCAAACCCTGAACAGTTGGGGCAAATATGGACACAACATTCAAGCTTGATACAGAACTGAATCGGATTGTGATTAAATATTTGACACAGCATAGGTTTCTGACACAGAATAAATGTGGTCTAAGAACTTAAAAAATTTAAATTTACCTATTCAAACCATATCATTATTATTTGCTTTTATATATCAATCAGAAATTACCAATTTAAAATGGAAAATTTTAAAGAAAAAAAAAGGAAAAAAAGGAAAAAAATATCCTTCCCCCAAATTATTTGAACCCCCTTATGATTCATCACCCCCAAACTCAATCCCAGCCTTCCCTTTGTGGTATGATACCTTGCAGTACAATTTCAGAGTGATCCATACACTTGAACACAAGTTATTGTCTGGAAACAAGAAAAATGTTTATTTTTAGGCCCCTTTTTGGCCCCAAATTCCTAAACGTTTAGGGCAATTATCCCCAAACTCAAACCCAGCTTTCCCTTTGTGATATGGAACCTTGTAGTACAATTTCAGAGATATCCATGCACTTACACACAAGTAATTGTCCTGAAACTAGAATGGTTGTATAAAAATGCTTGTTTTTTGGCCCCTAATTCCTAAAATTTTGAGGCAATTACCCCCAAAATCAATCCCAGCCTTCCCTTTATGGTATGGTACCATGCAGTACAATTTCAGAGAGATCCATACACTTACACTTAAGTTATTGTCATAAAACTAGAAAAATGCTTGTTTTTTGCCCCTTTTTGGCCCTAATTCCTACAATTTTGAGGCAATTACCCCCAAAATTAATCCCAGCATTCCCTTTGTGATATGGAACCTTATGGTACAATGTCAGAGAGATCCATACACTAACACACAAGTTATGTCTGGAAGTTACAAAAATGCTTATTTTTGGCCCCTTTTTGGCCCCTAATTCCTTTACCGTTGGTACCATAACCCCCCAAAATCAATCCCAACCTTCCTTTTGGGGTATTGAACCTTATGGTAGAGATCAATTCACTTAAACTAAAGTTAGAGTGCGAAAAACTAATGTGTCTTCGGACGACGACGACGACAACGACGACGCCAACGTCATACCAATATACGATTTGCGGTCGTATAAAAACTGCAAAATTTCCTTAAAATTACCAATTTGGTTGATTATTTAGGGAATCACTGATGCATGACTAGAGCGGGCCCCCTCTTTGGCAGTCAGTGGGCCCCCCTTTATGAAAATTTCTGGATCTGCCACTGAAAATGTAGGAAAAAGGCTGACTCAGACTTTTACCTTATACATAGCATGGCATTATATGGGTCTCAAATCTTAAGAAAAAACTCTAGAATCTTCTTTGATTTTGGTAAAAACCTTTTTACGAGCTATTGAAGTCTTCTGTGAAAAGAAAAGTTGGTGATACATGGCAAAATATTTTACCCTGTATCTTAGAAAAAAACACAAGGAGCAAGGGTCCGGAAACAGTCATATTTGCCAGTCATGTCCTAAGATGAAACTATTTGTCCTAAACGAGTAATTTGGATTTAGGACAAATTTTATTTTTTTACAGAAGTAATTTCGGTCATTTCATTGACTCAATGTTTGAAATCGGATTTCTTAATCGCCATTTTGCACTTGTGATCACTTGTTTTTGTTTATAATCCCTTTCCTGTAATAAAACTGCCACTACAGTAGTTTGATAATCCTGAGGGCCCTCCTAATATCTATATCAATGCCTCCGGGAAACATTGGCTAATGATCGCTAATCACTTTTTACCTGTGGTTTTAATTCACACCTGACAGTGATCACAAGCTCAGAATAATATCTTTAAAACATTAAAGTTCCCTGACAAGTGTATTCATTATTTATTTACTTTTCATCAAAGACAGTCATCAATTCTGATTAAAAAATTAAATCTAAATTTACGTAGAAAAAAGTATTTTTTCGTGAGTAACACGTGTGCTTTATTTACTATGTAATACGCAAGCGTGAAAATGTCTTCAGCAAATTTAATATTTAATCGTAAAATGCAAATTGATTTCATGCTAAATTAAACGAGTGCAACTATTATCTGTTATATTCAAACACTTTTAAAGGTAATAAAATAAAAAAGCCATAAACGGTGATTTCCTGTCAATTTGATAAACAAAACAAATCCCGGAAATGAATCTGGAATTATTCGTACTTTAAAATATCGCAAACTTCCGGTTTTAACTTTTGTCAAATCGAAAGAAACGTATGCAATGTCTGAGAAATTAACCATTTTGAGTCATTAAAATCATTTCAATTTTAGACTGTTGCCTTCCCTAAACTGTCCTTCATGGTAATGGTAAGACATTTACTTAGTAAATGCGATGAAACAGCAATACAAGTTCGTCATGTTCGTTGATGCTATGAATATAGTCAAGTTGATATCGACAATTTGAAAAGGGGCACCAACTTTTCAACATCTCAAAATGACCGAAATTGTCTGGAAAAATTTCCGGATCCTTGACAAGGAGTCCGAACATTTGACAAAAATTCATAAGCCTGACCCAAGTACATCCTTGCTGGTACTGAAATCATACATAAACAAATTTACCAGCATTTTATCGTCATTAACAATGAATTAAAATTTAAAAAGCTTCGTTGTTCTTTTGCTCTTTGTGTATTTTTTGCTGTACATGTACTGATTTTATGTCATGGATGGATACCCCATATCCTTTGTTTTTCTATTAATTGGTTTAAAGGTTCTCAAGTTATTGCATGGAAATATCTCGAACTGCCTTGACGTTCCTGAATACCCAAAACTGGATTTTTGAATGTTTACATGAATTAATCGTGATTCACACATCGGACTTTGATTAGTACAAAAACTTCATCAGAGATAAAGACTCATAAATTTGTCAAATTTTATACTAAATACACAAATATAGGAATTTATTTGGAAATATGATTCAACTTGCAGGAACTACAAAATGGTATTTCATACCCAGCTTTTTATTGTTATTATCATTCAACAATTAAAAAGAAGGCAAGAACATATGTATAAGATTTTTTTTTTCATCTTTTCTTTTGGCTTAGTACATAATTATTGATAAAGATTATAATGATACTGTCTGTGTGAAACATTTTGAGTTTCTTTTTTTCAAGATTAATATTGACCTGCTTTATTACAGTTTGAAATGCATTTAAAAGTTTATTTCATCATGTTTATTTTCTTTTCTATCTTGAAAATCAGAACTAAAATTTACTTAGAGCATTGCACAAAATCGTATTTTTCTACAATGTTCTAAGCATGCTCAAGAGCATAGTTGTCTTTGTTTTTTGATAATTTTTTCTTAATTACAATAAACAATGTGAATATACCATAAAAACTGCATCTACAGACTCATTCATCACAATGGCAAATACACCAATCAGCAGTACAAACATATTCATGTAAATATAGGAATCTGGTAAGAAATAATGACTCATTGATGCCCTAAAATAAAATAATACACTTTAAATATATATGTAGAATGGTAGATATACTGTAAATTCCAAAATTATTATGATGTTTTTATTATTGCAAAAAAAGCAACAGGGTTGTTATTGCAATAATTTAAACTTGCATTTTGGATTTTTTTATATGAATGCAGCAGGATTTATCCCAGTATCGCAAATATAATATTGGCATTTTGGTCTAAAAAAGCAAAATCGCAATAATTGCTGAACTCACAGTACGACAGCATGTACAATACATTTCACTAATACAAAGCTCACATGTTGAAATGGTTATTCTGCATTTGCCTTATTTTTTTTAGCAAAAGAGACATGCAAATGTATATTTAACAGTAAAATGGGATTAAATTGAAAACTTATAGTTATCAAGCAAGTTTACATAATACAATGTTTTTCAAATTTGTTCAAAATTTTATTCTACTTTTTACAATCTACATGTATATTGTATTTACGTACTTTATATAAGGATTTTTAAAAAAAAAAATATTCTAATCTTAGCCATTTCTCCTTCAAAACCCCTTTTACAGTACATAGCCTTTCTCAAAATTTTGGTATTTAAAAGAAAAACAAGTGAAACTTCTAGCTACTGCTCACTGATGATACCCCCAGCCCAAATATTTGACGGTAAACAGGAAGTTGTTGAGTGATGAATCTGAAAACACATCACACGGTGTAACTTACTTATATAAACCCTGAAACCAAATTTCAGAAATCCTTGTCAAGTAGTTCCTGAGAAAAATGCGACGAAAATATTCATGGGACGGACAGACGGAAGGACTGACGGAAGGACAGACAGAGGTAAAACAGTATACCCCCTTTTTTAAAGTGGGGGTATAATAAACATAAATTTTATAAAATGTAAATGCTGAATGTACATGCAATGGGAGATAACTCTTTTTTTTTTTATAGAATTGCACTATTGAACATGTTGAAGATATAAAGACATTGATTTATCTATAAACAAATTGACATTAAACTTGGTAAAGGATAATTATACACACTGACATTTTACAATTTAAGTAATTTGTTGACTTCTTTTTCTTTGTATATTTTGTTTTCAAAACTGCAGGATTCTTGTATAAAAGACATGCCTCTATCATTGACATAATTGAGGGCAGCACATTAACCTCTTTTGTCTCTCTATTTTGCATTATTTATTAAGTTGCTGTCTCTATGACATTTACCCTAGATCTCCTCTTATTCAATCTTCTTTAAGTGTTTCGTGTGTATGTTGGAGAGTTTTGTTAACCTCAGACAATTTTGCATATTTCAGTTGAGCCTGTTTGATTTAGATATTTTCAAACATTGTCATGATTTTATGTAATCAGACCGGTGAGCTTTCCTGAGTTATGGAGGATTTTCTCTATGAGAGGTGTTGAAATGACTATTGAAGTCCTAAATTATATAAAATGAATAACTCAAAAGAGGAATTAAAAGAAGCATAAGTAGTTGTCCTTTGTTGCTATTTATAATATTTGTGAAGCTTCTGTAGTTCTCCTTTGTTGCTGTATATCATATTTGTTTTTTAATTATTGTTTTTTTCGTAAATCAGGTCGTTAGTTTCTTTGTTTGATTTGTTTTACATTTTTATTTCGAGGCCTTTTTTAGCTTGATATGTGGTATGGGTTTTGCTCATTGTTGAAGGCTGTACAGTGGCTTATAATTGCTTATCATTACTTCATTTTATCCCTGGTGGATAGTTGTCTCATCAGCAGTCATACCACATGTTTATACCAATAGAAATTTTAAAAGCCTGGGCTGGAGGTCCTGTGGCCTGGCATGAATACTGTTTCTATGTTGGGGGTTTTTGCCATGGTATTGTCAGTTTTTCTGAACCATTACAAAGAATAGACTAATTTTAATTTTTACCAGTGTTCAGTTATTACAAATGTATTAGAAATTTATACATATAAACTCACCATATTGTTAAAACAAAATGTACTATCACAGCTCCCTGCAAAACAAAAACAGATATAAAAATATAAACACTTATTATAACTTTTAACAACTCCATAAAAGGCACCAGTTTAAAGTGTGTCAAACAAGAAAATGGCTCAGGATTCAGAAAAGAAAGGGGATTAAGTCATAGACAACATTCAAATTCATATATTTTCCTGTACATTTCCTATGACACAATACTTATGTTATTAAGTCACAATACGAACCGATATGCCCTATCATGGTTATAGCAGCCATATTTACTAGGGGACAGATTTTCATAATGGAGGTGAAAATGCTTTGAAAAACACAGGAAAATATCATAGAAAACAGAACAGTCCAGTTGCTTGGAAACATGCATAGGTTATCCATGTTTTCCCGTACTTTCTTATTATTTCCCCCTCCATCCAAAAATCTTCCCCCTAGGTAACCATACCTGCCAACCTCTGAAACCTTCAAAGAGGGAGATCTCCCCCTCAGCTATGACAGCTGAGGGGGAGATTTTACGCGAACGACATTTTCAAGTGAAATATATGACTTGTTTATTTATTCAGTCAGAGCTCAGACATATTAAAATAAGTCTAAATCTGCTTTTGACTCGTAGAGGTATAAATTTGTAGGTTTCAAGATTTGTCTCCCTTTAATTTAAGACAAATTATGACTTCAATAAGTCATTTAGTGTTAAGCAAGAAATATTTGACCTGAATTAAAATGTTGCAAATATTGACTCTTACAAGTTGATAAGTTACCAAAATTGGTCAACTTCAAGACCCAAGCATATTTATAAAAAGGTCATGCATCTACATGAAATTATGACAACATTGAAAGACAATGCTTTGTCTTCTAAAGGAAAATATGCATGAGAGCCTAAAAAAACGGAGATAGTGTTTATTTCCTTTACAATGCAACCATCTATAACCACACAAAATGAGGAAAATAATCTTATGTTAAGTAAAAATGTTCAATTAGATGATTAAATATAGATAGCTCAGGTCCTTGTGAACTCTCAGACAGGTTTATGATGTCATATAGGTGGTGCACTTTGGCCACCAATTAAAATTAAGTCTTTTCATAAACATAAATAGACCTAAACAAATCTGTCATTTTCTGACTTAAATAAGTCTGAAAATGAAAACACATTTTTATAATAAATACATTTTTTTACTTCTGTAAGTCAAAAACAAAAAACGACTTGTTTATGTCTTAGCTCTGACTGTTCAATGCTGTTATTCATCTACAAAACACCAATAAGAGTTGAAAGATATACTTTATTTCTTCAACTCATAGTTATAATCTATACAAGGTGTGTTTTGTTTTTTTTTGCCTTTTTTAATACCTCTGAGTCTCATAACTCATAACATTCCATATTTTGATTTTGTTGTGAGACCCACACTAAGCATGCTTTCAAACATCGTACAGACCACCAGAAGAATCCAAAAAGTTGATTGAACATGATGTGCAAAATGAAGATTCATTGCCAAGTGTCAGTGAACTTGGTCGTAAAAATTAAAAATCTTTCAATTCGTCTGCTTGACATTTCGATTTGCAGTTATCTATTTCTTCTTTTTTACACTGTTGATTGGTCCAGACAAAGACCTCTATCTTGTTGGAGTTGACATAGCAGAAATGAATTTCGATTACTTGTAAATCAAACATAAAAACTACTGACCAAAGTTTTCAAATGATCGCTGATTGTTTATTTATTTCTATTGACAGTAAAAGTCAGAGAATTATGAACACGGGTCATTCAGGGTTAAAATATCTGAAAGCGGGAGATTCTATACTCCCGCGTGGGAGTTGACCGGCAAGCTGGAGATTTCCAGAATTTCGCCACTGAAGCGGGAGTCTCCCACTCAAAACGGGAGGGTTGGCAGGTATGGGTAACATCTGCCTCATATTAAAAACACAACTTGAGATTTACTCCAAATAATCATGATATCTTAAAATTTGATGGACCTGAATTTTCGGAATGTTTGATTTATATTATCCCGAATTTCAGGTCTGCCAAACTTTACAGAGTTTGATATTTTATACTCTCTGGAATTGAAGGATCTTTGGGAAATCATTTTGAAATCGAAATATAGATGATCATTGCACACCTCAAATGAAATCGTAACTTATTTATCATTACTTTTGAATATTTCTGGAAATATTTTGCACCAACAAGCACAAAAAATGTAAGACTTTGTATAGAACTATGCAAACATTTCTAGCCATCAATAAAGATTTCATGGCAATATTCAATTTGGTCTCAAAGTGCTGCCGAAAATTCTCTCTCTAAGTCTAAGTTTAGACGAAAAAAATGGCTTAAGCGTTATGACGTTGTAGGAAGGCGTCACAGAAAGAAATTGAAATAGCTTTCACAGAAAGAAATTGAAATAGCCTTTCAAGACATCATAATTATTTGGACTACTTGAGATTGGTCCATTGACAAAAGAATGACATCGATTTCCATTAACTTTTTTATATTTAGAGGAAAGTAGCAGAAAAAATCATTGACAGCTTTGTTCATTCCAGTATAGCTTCTCTTACAGGTGTTTGAAAATATTTTCTTTTTTAGTAAATGTGTTCAAATAATTTAACACGAAGCAACAGCTTGGTTTATGAACAAGCTGTTGCAGTCGGATATAATTTTCATTGTTTCAGTTTCCTGTATTTTTCTTCGCAACTCTACATATATTCACTTTTCTTAAAGGATATAAATATACTAAATGAATAATCAAAACCTTTAGTGAGACACTCGATGGATTCATTTTACAACTTATTTCTTTTTCTCTGTGTCAGCTTCAGCATCCAATAAATAATCACAGTCACGGGATCTTTATGTAAATTCTAGAAATGTTCCGAATACTGCGATGAGAAGTTCTGTTGGGATTAGTCCTTCAGCGAATCTATAAAGTAACCACTCAACCCCAAAAGTTATTCAAAACAATAACGCACAACTTGCAACAGTAGTGAAACATTATTTGTATAGAAAATGGTAGGACAAGGGCCTTTGGGTTGATTATCTTAAAAACATGTACCAACAGATGAAAAGTTGGTAAAGAAAAACCGTACGATACAAGTAAAAACAAACTCCACGTGATGGTGCAGGTCGTAGTCTAGTGTTTGAACTGATGAAGCAATAACAATAGAAGATTAATCCTTTTTGAGGGGTGGACAGGGGGTACCCTTCTCCCACCTCCCGCCCCTATCTCCCACCTCCCACTTTTAGAATCTTTTTTTCTGTCCCACCTATTTTTTGTCTCCCACCTCCCGCCCCAACCTCCCTCAAAAGCTGTCCACCCCCTCTTCTTTAGTCCTATACATATTTACGAAGATCCTTTCAATTTTATTTTTGGACGATGGGATTCTCGGGGTTTTACCTCAAACTGTATGGGAATTAAATCCAAATTATTTTCACACCGTCTAATCATATATGATTGGTTAATCTGTTAATCTTCAGTTGTGACATGTATAAGAATCATGAATGAAGTTATGTATAACTTGTTAAAAATGCTTTTAATTTTATATTTTTTTATTTTTTGCGTTTGAATATTTCTTTTTCATTTTAAAATCCACCAATTTTATCGGTATTAAATATGATGACTAGCTGCGAAACCTTATAGCTTATATAGGTCCTAATGATAAATAATTGAAAATTTGCGGACAAGAACCTATGAACTATGGTTCCGCAGCTACAAGCTGACTTGTTAGCCAAAATCTGTTGTTTACATGTATCAAAGGCAAATTAACCACGTGACACTCAGCTTGTAAATTTGTCAATTGAAAATAACTGTTTCCCTGATAAACTAAAAGAAGCCCAAGTGACCCCCTTCTTGAAAAGAGTGACCCATTATTGAAAACAAACTATAGACTACTTATTAGTGTCTTACCCATATTTTCAAAAATCTTTGAAAAAATATATGAAATTCAACTAACAATACTTTGATAAAATATTTAATCCTTTTTTGTGTGCATTTAGACGTGGACATGGATGTCAGACCACACTACTCAGAGTGTTAGAAGATTGGCGTGAAGCTCTTGATAAAAACCAGTACATTGCAACGGTATTAATGGATCTTTCTAAGGCTTTTGACTGCCTGCTCCACAATATCTTGCTAGCATATGATAAATTATCAATATATGGTGTATCCACCCATTCATGGTGCTCTTCTAAAGTCCTATTTATCTAATCGTAAACAACAAATAAAAGTCAACAATGTTCTGAGTGGTTGGGCTGACATCCATAAAGGCGTACCACAGGGTTCCATACTAAGGCCATTGTTGTTAAACGTATTTATAAATGATATTTTTCTTTTTGTTAAAAATGGTAGTTTATATAACTACATGTATTTAGATGACAATAGTATTACTCTGTCTTTCTGCACTCCAGATTTGAGCTCGATCTGCAGGAGGGCCTCACAGTAACTACATGTTTTAAAACGTTTGGGCTCTGTTTCGGATAGACTTTGTAAACTTACTTTTTTCATACTTTTATTCTTAGTCATTTTTGTTTTTGCCTTTGGCATGGCACTTTTGCACTGAAAAATTTCAAAAAAGCTACTAAGAAAAGGTGCAGGAAATAGCACTCCGTTTTGTATACGAGGATTATAGCAGCTCCTATATATACGAGGACCTCTTACATAAAGCTAAGGTGCCCTCCTTGCAGATATGACGGATAAGAACAATGGCTCTAGAAGATTATGACCAATATAGCTCCTGTTTGATTATACAAATTTTTGTCAGTGTTAAAAAAATCTAAGTATTCTTTCAGGTATGGAAATATTCTGGATGTGCCACAGGTAAAGTCGACCCGTTACGGTAAAATAAATCTTTCAAATTTGCAGCTGCAACTTTATGGAACGGCCTTCCAAACCATTTCAGGACTGAAAATGGTTTTTCACTTTTTAAAAAGTCTTGTTCAGTTCTGTCAGTCTGCTTGCAACTAGATCTATATAACTCTTGAGCTATGCGGGGACGAGTAGCCAAATTGGCATTCGTATTATTCATGTTGCTTTTTGTTGATTTGAACTAGCAAAGATGTATTTCTTCGTGAATTTTTATATATTTAATATTTAGTTTCTGACACAAATTTCCAGAAATTGGGTAATCAATGCATGTTGAAAATATTTTGTTCTTTGAAATTTCTATATCTCGAAGCACATACTATAGTTCCAAACTTTTTTTATTTGATTTTTATGATTTAAATAGTTACAATATTTTTGAAGAAGAAGAAGAAGAAGAAGAAGAAGAAGAAGAAGAAAATGTTTTATTTCCATTGCATGGGCTCACAAGGAGCATAATACAATATATGATATTAATAAGACAATAACAAAAAGAAACAACAATAGTCTAGTATACAATACAAAGAAAAGAAAAAGCAGTTTGAACATAATGAACTACACACATATATATAACTTTATTTCCTCTATCATAGAGATTTGGTGTACATGAAGTATATAAATCAGAAAATTAAAAAACAAAGAATTTAAGTTGCTGTTTCAAGTTAATAAAAAGAAAACATGAGCACTGTCAATAATAGCGATAACGGTCACATCTTCTATCGATTGTGGAAACCTCTGCAGATTTTTTCCACATGACGAACACAAATCTTAGCGAAAAAAGTTAATTCGTCATTTCCTAATTCATATGACGTATTGCATGACAGAACTGTCGTTGTGAATTCATGTGCCGAAAGACTGTCCATAAAAACACTGAACTGAATGGGATTAACGTTAATTATGTCCTGCCATAGATCATCTCTTTTGTCTTGTATAAAATCACAGGATACCAGTAAGTGTTCAACGATATTCAAGAAGAACTTGCCACATTTGTGACAAAGTAAATGTTCATCTTCATAACGTACTACAGAACATAAATCAATAACATACTTGGCCATGTTGGCAGAGGCACGAAGTTCAGGAAACTGTTTAGCAATTGTCCATGCTTTATGCGGTTTGATTGAAGAATGAATATGCCTAAATATATAAAAGTCATTATCGCATGAAATTCGGTATAACCACCATGATGATGTTTCTTCAGTTGCTTTTATATTCCGGTTTACAATAACTGACCCGCAAAGTTTTTTTGATGGGAAAGAACCAGTATTTGCAAAATTCACAATATAATCCGTAATATTATATTTTTCCGGGCTGCTTTATAGATGTCGGGTATAAAACCAAGTTGTTCTGGAACGCATTTATATTTGAATTCCAATAGTCTACTTATCATTATTCGTTTTGGTAACGCAGAAGACTTCACCCTACATAGTCTACCAAAAAATAAAAGTTTACATCTGTTGATAATGCTTTCAATTGAAAACCAACCAAGAAGACTTGTACATTTGTCAGAACGGGTTCGTTTCGGAAGTCCTTGGATAATTTTACACAAAAATCTGTGAGATCTTTCAAACATCGTAAGTTCTGTTTGAGTCAAATTGTCAAGTTCCATAACTCACAACCATATAGGGCTTTGCTGTAACATATTTGAAGTATAATCTTAGAACACGTCAAAGGGGTTAAAATTGATGGATGAATTCCGGAATTTAAAACTGAAAAAGCAGTTGCTCTGAACACTCTGCACGCATTTAATGTCTGGTCCATTGATCTAAAATTACAGTTCAGAAGAATACCGACATGTTTGACAGACGTCACGAGTGGTATGACGTCATCATATAAAGTAAGATTGCTTGAAACACTCTTGTTCTTCTTTGAATAATGTAAGAGAAAACTTGAATGCCCAACTCTCGCTATATCATATGTCTGACAAATGTTTATAAGCTAGGTGCTGCATTCATTTTTCTGTTGTTGAGAGTAAAGCAATGTCGTCGGCTTGAACAGAGCTACTTACACTGATATCTAGAAGAACGCATCCCCATTCAGAATCTTCAATGTCGCATAAAAGATCGTTTATATACACTAAATATAACAGAGCTGATAAGACGCCTCCTTGGCGAACGCCGCGTTTTAGTTCAAACCAACGAGATAGTCTACCATTGAATGGTACAGAACTGCGCATGTCACTGTATATTTCATCTATAAGCAGCCATTAATCACCGGTAACTCCATATTTATGCTTTTTATATAACAATGCATCATGCCATACGGTGTCGAAAGCTTTCGTGCTATCTAACAGCACAACAATTACGTCGCTGTTACGTTCAATATAATGACGAATCGGTTCTTGTGAGTTAAATGAAGCGTGAATACTTGATAATTCCTTTTGATATGCCATCTGAGATTGATATGGAAACTTTATTTGTAAGGAGTCGAATCGAGGATAAAGAGACTTTTCGAATATCTTGGCGATACAGCTTGTTAACGATACACCGCGGTACGAATTGGGATCCGTTTTGTTTTTATTTCCACCTTTGAATAACGGTATAATTACACTAGTTTTCCAATCTAGAGGAGTATAACGTGTTTGTATTATTAGGTTGAATAGATTGCATAAGTGTTTTTGCAATGTTTTACCACCATATTGTACATGCTCATATGAAACGTTGTCTAAACCTGTAGATTTGTTGTTACATAAATTCTTACAAATGTTGAAAATTTCTTCAAACTCAAATGGAATGATTGGAGCGTGAATTTCCCTTTGCGCTTTCCGTATTTCATTCACTTCATGTTTTACAAAATTTATGTTTGTTGAATTTGTTCGCATATCCTTTGCATATTTCACTTTCGTTAGTATGAGTTAATCCATTTAAATTCAGTTCGCGACAAAAAGTTTCCTGTTTACGTCTGCTTTTTAAGACCGACCATACATATCTTTGATCGTTGTCGATAGACTCTTCCATTCTGTTGGCAATGTTCATAATATGTTCGTTGTAAGCT